TAGTCTTTCTTGAACCTAATTTTTCCATGAACTTTCAAAATACCTTCATAATTTATCTTTTAGGAGGCATGCTGTATTAATGACATACATAACTGTGTCTCTGACAAAGATTTTTTGCAAATGCTATAATCTCAGTTTACAACAAAAACCCATAAAAATATATTTGAGTGCTTTAAACTAGAAATATTAACTAATTTCTACACTGGAGCAAGAGAGTATTCCTCAGGTACCTTAAAGACTGCCAGCAAAAATTCAGCACAGCAGGGAGACAACCAATTAAAAGTTGAAAGGAATGCGTAATGTATCCACAAAGATAAAGAATCTCTTTATTAATTAAGAAACTGTGCTTTGGATAATGTAAATTATAACTTTATGTTTCATTAAAGGAACATGAAAGTTACCTCAGGATATGCCATATATTATGCTGAATTTGCTTGGGAAAAAAAATACCAACTGATAATAAGTTTTTGTAGGTATCATAATTCAAGAAAACAATTTTAACATACTTCCTTTTTTTAAAAGATTTTATTTATTTGTTTGAGAGGTAGAATTACAGACAGTGAGAGAGACAGACAGACAGAAAGGTCTTCCATCTCCTGGTTCACTCCCCAAATGGCCTCAACTGAGCCGATCAGGAGCCAGGAGCTTCTTCTGGGTCTCCCACACAGGTGCAGGTTCCCAAGAGCTTGGGCCATTTTCTGCTTTCCCAGGCCAAAGCAGAGAGCTGGATCTGAAGAGGAGCAGTCAGGACTCAAACTGGCACCCATGTGGGACACCAGTGCCACAGGCGGAGGATTAACCTGTACCACAGTGCCAGTCCCAACATACTTTAAATTGATATTAATTTTAGGCCAGGCCAAGATTTTAAAGCCATCCATTCTTATTGAAAGATAACGTTCTAATAAAAGCAGTGATATGCAGGTTTCGGTTCTTATGTATCTACTTGCTGTTTACCAAATCGGAAAAAGCTAAAATCGGTTAATAAAGGAACATAGCTTTCCAGGTAGTAGAAATACATAAGCAGAAGTGCTCTGAAATTAATATAGTTGCGAAATATCTGTTTTGTGAAATTAGTGAAAATTCTCACTACTCAGAAAGATATACATTGGAATTATATTTTCCATAAAGTACTTCAGCTTGTCCCTAATCTAAATGGATGGACCACTTAAATCACGGGGAATGGGAAGGTTGACAAAGATGTTAGAATGGCCTTGAATTCGAGATTTGAACTTTAACCAGAATTCTTTTTCTATCATTACATCTGTACAACTGTACCTTATTTTGTATACATGGGGAACTTCAAATGCTCATAAAAATGGAATTAAAAGGTAAAAATAGAAATGGGCATTACTACACAGTGGGTTAAACCATACACTGGAATGCCCACTTCTTATCCAAAAGGTAGTTCAAATCCCAGCTACACTACTTCTATTCCAGCTTCCCTGCTAATGCATCCTGGGAGGTAGCACACAATTGATTCAAATGCTCAGGCCTCTGCCACCCATGTAGGAGACTCAGATGGAGCTCCTCACTCCTGCTTTAGTCCTGCTCAGCCATGGCTGTTAGAGGCATTTGGAAAATGAACCAGTGCATGAAAGATCTCGTTCTTGTCTTCTGTTGCTCTACCTTTCAAGTAGGTGAAGATTAAAAAAAAATAAAAGCTACAAAATTTATTTCCCAACATATGTTTTATAAAATTCAAGACACTTTTTTAAAGTCCATCACTAAAGAAATGAGGCTTCCTGAGAATTTAACCATGGCAATACATTGTTTATTATTAACTAAAGGGAAATGTGCATCCTTTAGAGAGTTTTTAAGATTAACCAACAAATAAAATGAGAAGGAGCCACCTCAGGGCTACAAGGTGAGTGTCTAATGACATCCCATCAAAACTCTTGCAAAATTGTCCTAGTTTGATGAAAGGAATGAGCAGCATTGTAAAGATAGAGATGTTCTCTATGGGGGAATATGCCTAGATGTATTTCTAGCATAGCTTTGGTTAACTTTCTCAAAACACTCTCCTACTAAGCATGTGTTATCATTCTTTGGCCCTCTAGAAAATAAACAAACAAGATGTCTTGAGAATCCTTCAAAAAACTGTTGCCATGACCTTTGCTGTTGACTGATAAACTTGCTTTGACGGAACAGCTTCTACCTCTTAGTACCTACAGTTTTAATTAGGCTGTGTCTTCAGGATCACACTGGTAATACCATATTTCATCTCTTGTTATAATTCTTTGAAGAAATTCTTTAGGATCTTAATCCTACTTATTGCAAATTTCCATTGAAAACTCTACTGTTGTCTGCATCGGTATTGGGCACAGCATATCTGTTACCCATTGAGCAGAAAGTTTGCTGCACTTTGATTTTTATGGTTAGAATGGTGGAAGCTGAATCATTGAAGATGCTTATGATACTGGTAGTGTTTCTAGCATTATTCTGAGTCCTCTTCAATTAGGATGTGTACAAGATTGTTATTTTCCTTGCAAATTGATGTGGATGGTCTGTTGCTGTAGGCTTCATTTTCAGGGTACCCTCATCCCTTCTTGAAATGAGGTGTCATTTGTAAACTGCTGATTTCTTTAGGGAATTATGCCCAAAAACTGTTGGTAAATCATGAATAATTTCATCATTCTATCACCCAAGCTTCACCATTAATTTAATGTTTGATTTTCAATTTTAGCAGAATTCATGTTGTTCAGATAGTCTCTCTTTTCACTCTCCTTGGTACCTATAAGCTAGATCCTGTTGAGAATAACAAATTAACGTGAGTTAATTTGGGCACAAAAAATAAATTTAAATCCATGCAGTTTGTAAAAAAATATTTTCCTTAAGATTTTCAAAGGTCTCATGTATTTCTGATGGGGACAAGGGAGTCCAATTTTTCCCTCCCAGGTGTGCCTTTTTTCTCTTCACAGCTGACTATCCCTGATTTGGCAATCTGTGTGCACTTCCAATTTCAGATTTTACATATCTGGTCTACCTAGTAAACAGAATTTTATTTTGCTTTCTTCTATTAGAGTCCTTAAGTTAATTGATTTTTTATTTTTATTGAAGATCTGTAAAATATAGTCATATTGAACCAAAGTTAAAGGAAAATAACGCTCAAACTGCCAAAGCATGTGGCCAATTCAATACTTATTAAGGATGACCTCCCAACCAGATAAATCCATAAGGCATTCTCCTTATGAAATACGGAGTTCTCTCCTTATGACATTGCTCTTATATCAGCATCTTTTTCAGTAGATATGTTTTTAATATTTTGAATCAGCTAATGACAATATATCAGAAACAAGGCAGTTTATTTTCACGTTAGATATAAAGAAATTGAAACAGTTAAGTATTATGTATCAAAGAATTACCAAGAACTCTGACCATATATCTGTCATTATTGGTTACCTTTCTTTCAAAAAGTTGATTCTCTATGGTGAAACTTCTAATCTCTTTCTGATAAGCAAAATCAATATTTTCTTTCAAAATCATTTTATTACTTACTATGATAAAATAAGAATTGAAACAAAAATATTATCTTTATGAAATCTACTGAAGTTTATTTCATTTGACTCTGGTAATTCTTGAAACTTCTTTGCTATATGCATACTGCTTTACCTGATAAAATGTACTTTACATCATCCAGTTTTGTTGTGATTTCTCTCACATTCAATATTGGGAGAATTATTTGGGAAGAGAGTACTTCTACTTTTCTACATATATCTTCTTCATAGCACAACTTAGATGTCTAGTCAAGCAATAAGAAAAGAGGAAATTTCAGTCGCTTTAGCTACTTAAGATTGTTCTCCTTGCCTTTTAATTTTCCTAAATATTATAATATTATGAGGTCCTTCAGCCTCTTCATAAGTGAAATCAATGCTTAAACCTAAGAATTACGTATTCAACGTAATTGGTCTTATGATTAATGACCTATTCCAAACCTCAGATTATTGGGTGACAGTTTCTCTGGAGAATTTGGGAAATATGTCCTTGACAGACTGAATGCTTTGAAGGTTTGTTCTATAAATGAAATGAAAGGGGCTAGCACTATGGCATAGTGAGTGGAGCCACAGCCTGCAGTGCTGCCATCCCACGGGGGTGCTGGTTTGCGTCCTGGCTGCCCCACTTCTAATCTAGCTCCCTGCTAATGCACCTGGAAGGGCAGCAGAGGATGGCCCATATCCTTGGGCCCCTGCACCCATGTGGGAGACCCAAATGAAACTCCTGGCTTCATTGCAGCCATTTGAGAGTGAATCAAGGATAGAACTAACTTCCTCTTTCTGCCTCTGCCTCTCCTTTTCAGTAATTGACTTTCAAACAAAAAAATAAAAATCATTTTAAAAATGAAACAAAAGAGCAAGATTTTGTTAACTTTTGTTAGATTAAAACACAGTAACTATTCTATTTAAGTGGTTGCCTCTTGCTATTCTTTCATGGAAAGTCCCAGATTCTTGTGTAATGTTACCTCTGCTGATATTTTACAGCAGAATTCATAGTACAGTATATCAGATACTTAGAGTGACTTGTTTATGAAGAAGCTTTGGATGAATGTATGTGTAAATGATCCCAAAGGATCCGAGCTTTAAATCTTGCTTTCACAAGGGGTTTTTGTTATAATCAATTGAATATAAGTTCTGTAATATTAATTGGTTCTACTTTTTCCAAATATAGCATTGAGAAGCCTAGTTATAGTTAATTAGATTTCTCTCCATAAGATAAATAACAAAAACCTAACTTTAAATGAGTAGTTGTACTTCTCTAAATTTTAAAACATATATAAGGGTGATTTTAGGCCATGACAAAGATAAGTAGTGAGAAATGTTTAGTGACTTCCTTTTATTATAATTTAACATGTGTTTTTAGCTTGTATGTTTTTGGAAAAATAATCAAGTCTAAAACTGTGCATTCCATTTTGTGGTTTGACCTACTAAGATTAAAAAAAAATTAACTGCTAGAGATTAGTAAAATTATTATGAATTCTTAAAGTTTTCTTGTTTGTGTTTCATAAGATTTTCCTGCTGGCTTGGTCAATGTGGATGTCTACTGTGATGGAATCATGAAGGCCACAACAGAGATTAAATACTATACGACTGCAAAGGCCATGGGATGTCTATGTAGAGTGGCAGATCCAGGGGAGGGCTTATGCCAGGTAAGTTGATCTTCCCTTGAAGTTGATCAGAATGGAATCTAAAGAGCTAAGGCAGGATAAGAGGATTCCCACTTTGCTGTAAAGTCGGAATGTTCTTTGAATAAGATAGAATTACTGCTCAATAGGAAGGGAAGAAGTGAATCTCTGTTACAGAGAGGCAGACAAATTTCCAGATAATGTCAGTGGGAGACAGCTAATCCATTATAACATCACTGTTGTGATGAGCTCATTTTAAAGCTGTTTCAGAGCAGATAAAGAGGGAGGGATTTAAGAAGATTGTTAAGGCATGAATTTCTTCTTTATTCAGGTCTGGACAACACAAAATAAAAAAAGTCAGATAATCTATCCAATGCATTGAAAATAAGGACTCAAGCCAAACATGGAGCATTTGGTATTTATCTAGACATTAGTATTTTCATGAGGACACTTCCAAGATCAGCGTGTTTTCTTAGTTTCATTACTTTTCAGTCATTAGTTTAATTTCTGCATTTAATTATATTATTTTAGGTTACTTGACACTTTGTTTTTATGTTTTTTTTAACTTTTATTTAATAAATATAAATTTCCAAAGTACACCTTTTGGATTACAGTGGCTTTTTCCCTTATAACCTCCCTCCCACCCACAACCATCCCATCTCCCGCTCCCTCTCCCATCCCATTCACATTAAGATTCATTTTCAATTATCTTTATATAAAGAAGATAGATTTAGTATATACTAAGTAAAGATTTCAACAGTTTGCACCCACACAGAAACACGAAGTGTAAAGTATTGTTTGAAGACTAGTTTTACTGTTAATTCTCATTGTACAACACATTAAGGACAGAGATCATATATGGGGAGTAAGTTCACAGTGACTCCTGTTGTTGACTTAACAAATTGACACTCTTGTTTATGGCATCAGTAATCACCCTAGGCTCTTGTCATGAGTTGCCAAGGCTATGGAAGCCTTTTGAGTTCACCAACTCCGATCTTATTTAGACAAGGCCATGGTCAAAGTGGAAGTTCTCTCCTCCCTTCAGAGAAAGGTACCTCCTTCTTTGATGACCCATTCTTTCCACTAGGATCTCACTCACAGAGATCTTTCATTTAGGTCATTTTTTTTTTTTTTGCCAGAGTGTCTTGGCTTTCCATGCCTGAAATACTCTCATGGGCTTTTTAGCCAGATCCAAATGCCTTAAGGGCTGATTCTGAGACCAGAGTGCTCTAATATGCCATTCTATGAGTCTGCTGTACACCCTGCTTTCCATGTTGGATCGTGCTCTCCTTTTTAATTCTATCAGTTAGTATTTGTAATCCCTATTAAATATGAGTGGGAATAAGAGAGGAAGGAGATGTACAGTTCGGCACATGCTCAATCGGACTTGCCCCAAACAGTAGAGTTAGAAACGTGCCAGGGGATTCCAGTTCAATCCCATCAAGGTGGCATGTACCAAAGCCATCTCACTAGTCAAAATGATCAGTTTCAGTTCATAATTGATCATAATGATAGGATTAAGAGTCAAAGGGATCATATAAACAAGACTAGTGTCTGCTAATACTTCACACTTTGATAAAGAGAAAGCCTGTTTACTGTGGAAAGTTGATCCTTTATGTACTTATTTCACCAATTTCAAAGTGAAATATGTCATTTCTTTTTATATCCACTTGATAATTATAATTATAACATTACCTAGTGTGTGTGTGTGTGTTTGTGTGTGTGTTGTGTTTGTGTAGAAGGGAGAACAGAAAGGAGCTGAAGAGGTAGTTGAACAACACAATCTTCAAATTGATCACAAAATATCCTATTTCTAACAAAGCTATCAATGATAGTGTGATTGGGAGGTTGTCCGGATGCCTGTGTATTTAAACTGACTCAAATTGAGTGTTTGTTATTCATGTCATGTGAATTTCACATTTTTCTATGAGAGTTCTCCTTTATGAATGACATATTTTAGAATAGTGGGAAAGGTAAAAATGTATTTTAAAAGGACAGTGAGTGAAATACCATTTGTCAAACTAGCAAGTCTGAGACCATTTGACAAAATGTCAATAACAAAGCCAAGTGCAAAAGTAATAACTTGAAATATGGAATGTTTCATTTCCTTGTGACAAGCCTACCTTATCATCTACTTACTTCTAATCATAACAGAAAGATTAATAAATGCAACATAGTACATGATCAGTATTCAGTGAGTATACAAGTAAAGCAGTTCCCAAACACATTTTTTGTGGTTTTTAATTTTTTTCTCTTGCTGGGGAGAGGAATATTTATATATGGTGAAAATTAAATGTAATTTATGACTCCTGGAAAATTTTTCGGAGTGCTATAATATGAAAGTCATGATTTCTTCTACAGCTTGAACTGAATAAAATTTTGATTTGCATAGTTTTAGATAACTAGAAAGTGTTCTATTTCATTTTAACACTCAGTGTCAGAAATGAATGATAAAAAAGGGCATTCTTGAATACTAAGATTTGTCCCTCCTACCAAGCTCTAATAGGTTAGTGCAGGGAAGAATGAAGGGAAGGCGGCTTGATCCAGGATTCACGAACAGGAAAGAGTCACTTGAAGCCGGGGGACTGAGTTCTGATGGGTAGAATTATTCTAACTTGCTAATAGCAACAAGGTAAGTTAGGGAGAGACATTAAGAGATTAGATTTCATTTACAAAAAGTAAGATAAGCCTACCATCTTACAAAAAGATTTTAAGATTTTGCCACCATCATTAGGGTACCAAGAAATGTTTTGGGATTAGAATGAACAAATTCTCAGCTTGGGATCTTTGCCCAGACCAAGCCATGGTATCACAGGATGAACAGAAGGAAAGATTGTACTTCAGCCTGTTTCTCTGCCGTCTTAGACTAGATATGACCTTGGGGGCTCATGTAAATCCACTGGTATTTGAACCTCACAGGTTATCTGTGAATTCACTGAGATGGTGAAACGCAGACTCTGATGAAGAGGGAAGTGCAGAGGCATTTCCTTGGTGTGTTGCAGGGTTGTTTGGCCTTGAAGGAAGTGGCCCAGCCCATACTGTGCTTCTCCTTTCAGGCACTTGGTCTTACCTTTTGATGTTTTGCTTTATTCCCACATAGGCAAGATTTAAAGACTTGTGCTGAAAGCTGTGCTTTTGTTCCAGTATAGGATACTATAGTAATTTTTTCTTTTCTTATGTTGGAATTGATATCCTGATCATTCAATTCTTTTGTTCTCTTTATAGTAATAAAATTTTAAAAGCAGTCGCAAAATCTACTTATGCCTATTATAAAACTATTTTTCTGATTTCAGATGAGAGTATTTATTTGTAGCTCTTCAAGAATGTGTAGACATCAAATAAGCTGATTGAATGATAAACATTAAATATTAAATAGAGCATTTCTTTCATATGCTGCTCTGTAACCTGTTTAGGAAATCTGGATAGTTTGCAAATGATTCACTTGAAATCTCTCTTCAAACCACAGTGCACATTGTAACTTTAGACACCAAAGTTATTCTGTATTTGTAAGAACATATTTCAGCATATTTTAATTTTTTTCAATATCCTACCTACTTAGCTGAAATGGTATGTTTCAGGAACTATACTGAGTTTTCCAGTAGATTTTATTGGCAGATAAAAAAATAAGCAATAATAACCTTCTGTAATCATTCAAAAGCTATTGCTCAAATAATAGCAAGAACATTGTGTGAATTTAAAGAATGAGTGAGCAATTATTGAGTTTTATTTTACAGTAATTCTAGTTTATAAGAGATTTCTTTCTATGATCACTGAAAAGCTGTTGGACATACAGCAAAAACAGCTATTCAGTGAATCTGAGACAAGAAATGATAACGAGGAATCTGGTTTTCTCATTTCATTTTTAATGGTGTCCATTAGCTTTTAGAATAATTTACTGCAACCAGCTTAATTATCTAACTGCATTGTAAATCATTTCATTTTTTAGATAAATACTATTTCTAGAGCATCAATTAAAACAGTGAATACAAGTGATAATCAAATAAAAACAACTCCAAATTTGGGTTGATAATTAGAATTCAAGTACTAGCATTAGCAATGCTAGTAACTTCTATTTAACTGAGATAATTAAAACCTTTGGGATATTTTTCTATTTCCTAAGGAGTCTTGGGGCAACTACTAAAGTTAACTTTGTATAGGAATTACTATATACAAAATAAAAACAGAATTAGGTCAAATGTTAAAATATCATAGCAATTATTGATCAAAATGTTAGGTTCCTATTCTTTAAAAGCATTTTCAAAGTGATACAAAATTGTTATGCTATGTTTCTGACTAGTAAACAAGTTATCTTTGCAGTGTGTATATTTATCATTTTGCATATTTTATTTTTTATATATTGAAATATTTTCTTTTTAAAGATGTATTTATTTGAAAGAATTACAGAGAGAGAGAGAGAGAGAGAGAGAGAGAGAGAGATCTTTCATCCTGTTTCACTTCATAGATGGTTGGAATCCCCAGGAGCCAGGAGCTTCTTCCAGGTCTCCCATGTGGGAGGCAGGGGCCCAGCTACTTGGGCCATCTTAAGCTGCTTCCCCTGGGCCATTAGCTGGAAGTTGGATCAGAAGAGGAGCAGCCTGCACATGAACAGACCCATATGAGATGCTCCCATTGCAGACAATGGTTTTACCCAAACACCACAACTCCAGCCTGAAACATTATTTTCATGTTCATGTTAAATATGCTTCTTTTTTGTTTTCATTAAATTGTGTATATATATTCAAACTTTGATTTTCTGCCTATAAATATTTAATACAATGTGAAAACAGATGAAATTGTGGTGAGGGAAGGAATTCCGATGTTATGTGAAATTTCCCAGTGTGTTTCTCCCTGTTAGCAGTTCCCTTAAAGGTTAATTTCATCAAAAGTTAAAGCTTAGGTGTTATCAATAATATCCCTTAAAGAATTCCTCAGGAGATTTTTCCACTGAGAGATAATAGTAACTCCCAGATCTTTGAATAATTATTTTTAGGTCCTTATTTTCTTCAAAACATTGAAGGAAACAT